CATTCTACTATATGGATGGTATACCATCTTTCTATTTCGATGGTATGTCAACATATGTTGATGGTATCAAACCTCAATGGTACTTGCATACTATCAAGTATCAGGTTGGTATCTATTATCAGAATGGTATAATCATTAATGTATAAGATTAGATTAAAGGACTTCTTGTAAAAAAAATGATCTAATAATACCCCAGATAAGATATAATAATCCATATATAAGTCCATATCATTGAAAGCAAATATTATTGAAAGCTAAACAATACTATAACAACTATGCACACATAAAATGAACCATATCATTGAAAGCAAATATTATGAAAGCAAATATTATGAATGCATTGATATCACAGTATACAAACCTGGCACTTGCAAAAGATCCCATTTGAATCCACTTCACAAGATTCAGATCAGGTGCCTTAAGCTTAGACAGTCTAGCCATTTGATTCCCCACAAATTCACCTGAAATGACCTTCACCGATGGCTTCAAAGTCCTCTTGCTGTCACTCCGGTTACATTGCTTTTCCCCATCAACCTTATCCCCATCAACATAATCGTCACCTTCGTCTTCAGGTTCATTTTCCTTCCTGGCCAGGACAATGTTATCCCCAGCCTTTAGCAATGCAGTCTGAGTCCCATTCCCATTCCCACCATCATCAGTCCCATTCCCCCCCACATCAGCAGCAGCAGCTTTCCCCACAGTCCCATCCCCCCCATTCCCATCATTATCATTCCCACCAGCTCCATTCCCAGTCCCATTCCCCTCATTCCCATCATTATCATTCCCACCAGCTCTATTCCCAATCCCATTCCCATTTCCACCACTCCCCCCCTCATCATCATCAAGAAATTCATAAAGCACCTTCGATGAGACGATGACACACCCGCAACCACTTCTGAAATCTTCATTGACATATTCCCAACAGCAACAAAGTCATCCAACTTATTAAAAGTATCAGAAACAGAGTTTATATATTCCCCCTTGTCCAACTCTCGCTCCTTGATTGAGCTTGAGCCAGAACTGCCCACATGACTAGGATTAGGGGACCTACAAACAAGAGACCTTTCCTTCGGCACACCCTTAAACGTCGGTACATGGTTGCTTGCTTTTAAAATATTCTCCAAATTCTTCTCCAATTCCTTCTCCATGTACTTCTCAAATACCTTCTCCATGTTCTTCTCAAAGATCTTCTCAATTTTCTTCTCCAATTTCTTCTCCATTCTCTCATACAACGGCCTGATCATATCCAATACCTTGAAACAACATAAATACATTAGTTTAAACATAAGATTATCATAGTCTGTAACCAACCACAGAAAAAAATTTACCTCATCTGCAACGCGGACTTCTAACGGTTGGCATGAGTCCCTTCCAACCATAGGATTCCGTTCCCCATACGCAACATCAACAGTCTACAATGATTTAACAATAAAAACATTTAACAGATTGCTCACACAACACATTCACAAAGTAAACCAAGTTAAAGTACAACACACTCACCTTCACTTTCCCATAGTCTAGTGATGGTAGCAAATCAGCTTGGATTGCAGCAACAAACTTCTTCTCTGTCCACACCTCTGACCTAGGAAAATGCCCCCAACTCAGAGGAGGCAATGCAAGGTGGTCCAAGTAAAATATATGTGGACAACAATATGCATTTTAAACAACCATAGAAAAAAACATATGAGCTTTTAAATAAACTTATATAACATTATACCTGAAGGAATAACACACATCCACCACCACCGGTTGAATACCCTATCTTGTTAAGCCTCCTCCTAAAATCTATTACACAGGTCATCAACCAACTGTGTGCACATGCACACCAATCAAAATACTGCACACCATCACCTATCGAAACAGCGGGCAGTAATGAAGTAGCCAAGCTCTGACCATTGGTAGTCGGACATATCAGTAGTCCTAACATCGCTAGCAAGAACGCCTTCATGAATTCATCCTTCTCATGCTCTGTGTTAATTGGCATTAAAGGCAGCTCATCAACGGTCTGCTGGATCTTAATGTGACATGTACCATCTGGCTTTACCTCACCATAGTGCTGAACTATCCCATCAACCCTCACTTGCATGGTTGCATTTTTTACTTTAACAGGAACTTGGTTTGTACCACGAGGAAGCCTAAAAATGTACCTCCATTGTTCAAGGCACAAGGGTAGCTCCCTTCCATCTCCTGCAGTGAGAACCTTCTTCTCGGGATCGATCCTTCCCATAAGCCAGTAACAAAACCTGCGATCAATCTTCGTTGAAGGCAGCTTAACCAAAGACCTAAACCCACTATCCTACAACAACTCTATTTTCTTCTCATCTATTTTCATCGCCTTAATAAGATCAACAAATGAACTGACTCGACAATTGAATTTTGCTGGCTGAAACAATTTACACTTCAACAACCACATTACAGCATACAATTACATAACAGATTATCGTTAATAAAAACTATACCTTCCAGCTGCAACTCCTCAGCTGTGTTGCAACTAACAACCCTCTTTTCTTAGCAGACTCACCTAACGTCTGCCCCGGTTGTCCAACAACAAACTACATATAATCAACAAACAAAATTACAACAGAAAAACATATCAAGAAGTCACCAATTGACAATAACAGGACAAACCAATTAAAAATTCACTATTCCCTGTACCTCCTCCATCGTATTATCTTATTATTCAATTACTAAGGGCCTCTATACTATTCTCACAACTCTAGTCTGTTTCTGTGGTGGAGGTCTCTATGGGGGGTCTCTGTGAAACAATTTTTCGCTTCTTATCAGTGTGCTCAGTAACAAAATACTCCGACTCCACCTCATAATCACCAACAAATAAATCGTCTTCAGCGTACTGTTGTTCTTCAACTTCCTCCTCATAGTCTGCATCATTAGAATCATCATCCGCTCCACTGAAGACTTCGTCGTAGTCATTATCTTCATCATCAACATCCTCGACAACAGCCGCTTCCATTTTCCTTTTATTGCTTTCTACTTGTTGTTCTGCTTGTTTGCTAGAAGAAGCAACGGGTGTACCACTTCTAGTCCTCATTATCTGCTTCAGTGTACACTACATACAACAAACAGCCAAATAAATACATTTATTTCTTCTAGATATATACAAATTAAAATCAACCATGCATACATACCCCCCAATTACTTCTGCATCCTACAGAAGTCTTCATTCAACTGCTCCGACATCACTAAGTACATTACAACACACGGGAAAAAAAATTACAAAATCAATGTACTACTTTGGAGGAAAAATAACTCTTAAAATTCCATGGTTACAAAAACCTTAAAAAAGGTTTCTAAAATAGGTACCGACAGCCCACAACATGGTATCTTAACTCATTGATTATGGTATCAAACATAGACCTATTTGGTATCAAAAACAGAAGATTATGGTATCAACCGACAACCAAAAAACTAGAACTAAGGGGCCAACAACAACATTCACACGGGAATTAAACAGAAATTTTTAATAAATTCTAAGAGGGATTCAACAAATAATTAAACTTCTACCAATTTCAACACTCTAATCACGCTTTAAACGATGTACTCATGAATTCAACCAAGTTAATTTATCCCACCATGAGTACATTAGTTGAAATGCATGTAACTTCGCCAAACAACATTGCAGTCAACATTCCCCATCAAATACATGAGTTTAATTGCCATCTGATGCAATCTTATACAAAGAAAACAAATTTCACATACAATTCAACAATTTTAAACATACAATTCAACAATTTCCCAACAGTTAATGCTAAAATTAATCAACAAATAAAGGGCATAATTTCAAGTAAAAACCCTAACTTTTGACATATTCAAACCCTAACTTTTCACAAATTCATCACACATATTTCAACAACTACTACTACACAGACAACTTTCAAGAACTAACAAAAACCTAACAAAAAAACTAAACTTTCAAAAACTTAAACAACTAGGGTTCATACTTACATTTGATGGCGCGACCAATTTAGGGCGAAAATGCCATCACACAGTCCCTTGAATAGAAACCCACAGACGATGCTCCAAGTTTGCTTGAATACAAACCCAAACAAACGCGAATTTGGCAACTTTTTACCGGTTTGTTTTTTCGCACACTCTCACTCTCTTTCAATCGAAATGAATTTTGGGAAAATGGTTTTCTCTCTCTCTTTTACAGATTTAAATTTCAAAATTTTTTGGATATTTTTTTAAACACTTTAAATTAATTAATCAGGAAGATGTGTGGGTGGGAGTAGGGACCACACACTTTACAGAAAACTTTTCATAACCTAAATGTGGAATTCCCCATTATACCCTTAGTTGAGTCATTCATGCCTCAACTTAGTTGAGGATGAGAATTGCTCATTATGTTTCTGCTTCTTAGCAATGCTTATAACTTAAATTCTAAAAAACAAAAGTCCAAAGAATACAAACCTTTTGCTCGTTCCATTTCATTATTGTTGTGGTAAAATTCTTTGGTTCAGCGTGTAATTGTTGTATTCATAGTTTGTAATTATGATTAGGGGTGAAAGTTCGGTTTTCGGTTTGGTTTTTTTGCCCAAACCGAAACCGAACCACCATAAATTCGGTTTCTTGATTTTGCAAACCACACCGCACCACTTTAGCTTTGAAACCGAACCAAACCAAACCACTAAATTTTCGGTTTTCTTACAAAAAAACCGAACCGCACCGAATTTTCATATCAAAAATCATAAACATCAAATTTTGCAAAAAATCCAAACCAAAACACACCAATTAAAACCGAACCAAACAAAACCAAACCAAAACCATTTAAACAAACATAATTAACAAGTTTTTAACCCAGATCCGCAAACATTCCTAGACATAATTACTATAATATCGAATTGCTATAATTTCGAAAAATTTAAGATAAAACCCTAATTTCATTGAACTAAAAATTGGAATAAAAATCACCGAAATATCAGAAAAAAATTGGACAAAAATTATTAGGAAAAAAAAAACACAAACCAAATTAAAAGAAAGAAAAAGAGGACAAACCTCACATTCCACCGAAAAAACGTCGAATTTGGGTTTTTAATGGTCAAATTCGACCATGAAAACTCTAGATCTAGAGTTTTTCATAGTCGAATTTGACATGAAAAACCTTTATTTGATGGTGCTCGGAATCAAAACCTTTAATTTAGTTGATGGTGTTCGTTAATGGTGAAGCGAATTCGAATTTTATTAATCAAAACCTCGATGTTTTAGTTAATGGTGGCGAGGAGAGACAAGAAAAACGAAAAGAAAAAAGGAGAATGAGACAATGAAAGCGAAGAAGAGGAGAGAGAATGGGTTATTGGGCGGAATCCGGGAAAGAGGAGAAGAGGAAAGGAGAGAGAAAGGGTGGAAAGAGAGAGAGGGAGGCTGAGAGTGATTAGGGTTTCTTTTTTTAGCTTTATATACCTAGGGTACTTTAGTTTTGGGCCAGGGTTATGTAGGGTTGGGCCTCTAATTCGTTTTGGTTCGGTTTTGTTCGGTTTTTTCATTTTCCCGAACCGAAACCGAACAGAAAACCGAATTTCATTTTTTTTTACACCGAAACCGAACCACCCTCCCAAAAAAACGAACCACATTCCTTATTCGGTTCGGTTTTTTCGGTTTTACACCGAATTTCTTTCACCCCTAATTATGATGGTAATACATTAAGTAATTGAAAGTGTGATTATGCATGCAATCGTTGTGTTCGTATTTGATTACATTGGTGTTTTTTTTAAGTTGATTTGGGAGTCGTGTTCGTGTATAAAAAATTAAAAAAGCAAATGGGCAAATACCACTGCTGTTTCTGGGAGGTTTGTACACACCCCCAATGGTTGGTATTGTTTATTAAGAACAAAGAAATGTAGTGGAGTACACCTCGATAATTTTTCGACCAAACCTCAACCCTCACGGTTTTTGTGGTCCGGTATTTGTAGGCCAGTCACTTTGAGACTGAGGGGGAAAGGGTAGGGGATCCCACCCTCAAAGTGCCTCTAGTGAGGATTAGACCCCTAACTTTAAGGTTAGAAGTTACAATCTTTCCCACTAGACTAAGTTTAGCTTGGTAATCAATCATATAATTTGGAGTATAAATCCACTACACTTAACCCCAAGTCCCCAAGAGAAACTAGTAGTGTTAGTTATGTTAAAAAAACCTTGTAATGAGGCAGGTACATGTTGGAATGGTGCTAGATATGACTGCTCCTGAATGGTGCTCCGGTTGGCCTGAGCAGTGCTCTGAAATTGTGCTCCCACCACCGTGTGCAGCACACAAGTGAGCACCAAAGGAGGGGCACTTTTATAAAAATTGATCTGAATTGTTGCAACCTGTTTCAACAAACACACAATTAGAGTACAAATTCATTTACAAAACACTTGATCAAAGCATTTGCATTTCAGAACAGTTCGACATTTACTTCATAGAAGTTTAAACCATAAATCTAACAATATAAAACATCAAAAAAGACAAAGAGCAAGTATAAAACCTCCAAAATCATGGATTTTTCATAACAATTGAGAAATGAGAAATCAAATAAACCTTCTACCAATTAAAAATCAATTGGTTGGAACTCATTAAGGATGGAAAATGAAAAAAAATTTAATTTTCTCCTTAAAAAATAGTAAAATGTACAAGGCTTGGAACTAATTGGTTGGTTGAGCTCACGGATACAATAAGGCAGCTTAGATAACCTCCAAATCTCCTCAGTATGTTTCTCATAATACTCGATTTCATCTTCTGTATAATCAACCCAATAACTATGTGGATCCTGAATTTTTCTAGTATGGGAAAACTATGCGCTGTTTGTGGATGACTTACTGTCATCCTCATCATCTTCATTCAGTACTTCATCTTCTTCTGGCAACAATTGTTGGACCGCCATTTCTAGAGATAATGAATAATTCTCTTGATGTTCTTCTTCTTGATGTACTCCTCCAGGCATATCGACATCGTTCTGTTGTTGAGTCAAGGTCAGTTCAAGGGATAAATCACTCATCTGTTGTTGAATCAAGGAAATTTCAAGAGATGCATCATCTTGTTGTAGTCCACAAAATATGTCATTCTGTCGCGGAATCAAGCTCATTCCAAGAGATGAATCTTGTTGCTGCTGTGCACCTCCAGGTCCATTCTCTGGTTGTTCATCACACGGTTGTTGGCGCACACATTTAGAAATCGAAACTAGACTCTCTGTATAACCAATAATCCCGGTTCAATAATGATGCGAAAAATAATTACGAATTCATGTGGACGAAGAGCCAGCAGATTCTTCATAATAATTTTTCATGTGTTGCTTGCTCGGAAGGCAAGTTGATTATTCGCCCATCACCGGGTAAAATTAATTTTGAATCAATTAGTTTTCTGGAACGTATACAAGGAGATATTTGTGGGCCTATACATCCCCCATGTGGACCATTTAGATATTTTATGGTTTTAATTGATGCATCAACTAGATGGTCACATGTGTCTTTGTTATCAACTCGTAACCTGGCGTTTGCGAGATTACTTGCCCAATTGATTCAGTTACGGGCACATTTTCCAGATACTCCCATTAAGACTATTCGGCTTGACAATGCTGGTGAATTTACATCTCAAGCTTTTAATGATTATTGCATGTCCATTGGGATAAATGTTGAACATCCTGTAGCACATGTTCGTACACAAAACGGTCTGGTAGAGTCATTAATAAAACGTATTCAGTTAATTGCTAGACCATTGCTTATAAAATCCAATCTCCCAATTTCTGCTTGGGGACATGCTATATTACCTGCAACAACACTAATTTTCATTAGGCCAACAAGTTATCACAAGTTCTCCCCATTACAATTGGTTTATGGTCAGGAACCAAATATTTCCCATCTAAGAATTTTTGGATGTGCGGTTTATGTTCCAATAGCTCCACCACAATGCACTAAGATGGGTCCTCAAAGGAGGTTGGGGATATATGTTGGGTTTGAATCCCCGTCAATAATTAAATATCTTGAGCCAACAACGGGGGATTTATTTACGGCTCGTTTTGTAGATTGTCATTTTAACGAGTCACTTTTCCCAACATTAGGGGGAGAAAAGAGAGAGCTGGAAAAGGAAATTAAATGGAACGAATTATCATTATCCTATCTTGATCCTCGAACTAAACAATGTGAACTGGAAGTTAAAAAAGATAATTCATTTACAAAGTTTAGCGAATCAATTGCCAGACTCGTTTGCTGACCCAAAAAGAGTGACCAAGTCACATATTCCAGCTGTAAATGCTCCATTTAAAATAGATGTCCCGGAAGGACAAAATAAAATTGCTAATGAGTCTAAACCACCCCAGAAACGTGGAAGACCAATAGGTTCCAAAGATAAGAATCCTCGGAAAAGAAAAGGAGCATTGATTGATGATGGTAAAATTGAAGAAACAATTTCCGAAGGATCTCCAGAAGAGACTTTAGACATGATACAAGAAGAAATTCAGGTACCTGATAATGAAGAAATTTCAATAAATTATATCATGTCTGGAATTACATGGAACCGAAATTAAATCGACGTCGATGATGTTTTTGCATGCAATGTAGCATTAGATGTTATGGATAATAATGAGGATCATGAACCAAAATCCATTGAAGAATGTAGACAAAGAAATGATTGGCCAAAATGAAAAGAAGCAATTGAAGCAGAATTAAAATCTCTTGGAAAAAGAGAAGTATTCGGACCTGTAGCCCGTACATCTGAAGGTGTAAAGCCAGTGGGATATAAATGGGTCTTTGTGCGAAAGAGAAATGAAAAGGGTGAAATTGTAAGATATAAGGCACGCTTAGTTTCACAAGGATTCTCACAAAGACCTTGTATTGATTATGAGGAGACATATTCTCCTGTGGGCGTATGTGATATAACCGTCTAAGTGAGTATTTGTTTAAAGAAGGTTATAAGAATGATCCTATCAGCCCATGTATTTTTATAAAGAAATTTGGATTAGGATTTGTTATAATTGCAGTGTATGTTGATGATTTGAATATCATTGGAACTCCTGAAGAGATTTTAGTGACTGTCAATTATTTAAAGAAAGAGTTCGAAATGAAAGATCTAGGAAAGACAAAATTCTGCTTGGGGTTACAAATAGAGCACCTAGAGAATGGAATCCTTGTGCATCAATCAACATACATAGAAAAAGGTTCTTAAAAGATTTTCTTTGGATACGGCACATCCATTGAACAACCATATGGTTGTAAGATCACATGAAGTAGAGAAAGATCCATTCCGACCTCGGGAAAATGATGAAGAAATTCTTGGTCCTGAAGTACCGTATCTTAGTGAAATTGGAGCACTAATGTACCTTGCAAGTCATACACAACCCGACATATCATTTCTAGTTAATTTATTAGCAAGGTTTAGTTCATGTCCAACCCTAAGGCATTGGAATGGGATTAAACATTTACTTCGTTACCTTCAAGGTACGAAGGATATGGGTTTATTTTTCCCAAAGTTGTCCAAAGAAAATTTGATTGGTTTTGCAGATGCAGGTTATTTATCTGTTCCTCATAATGGTCGGTCACAAACTGGATATGTGTTCACATATGGTGGTACTGCCATTTCTTGGCGTTCCATGAAACAAACCATTGCAGCTACTTCTTCCAATCATTATGAGATTTTAGCAATTCACGAGGCTAGTCGTGAATGTGTATAGTTAAGGTCGGTAGTTCAACATATAAAAGAAGTTTGTGGTTTATCATCTGGGAAAGAGGCACCGACAACTTTATATGAGGAAAACACTGCTTGTATTTCTCAACTTAAGGAAGGATACATCAAAGGCGACAGAACAAAGCACATCTTACCCAAATTTTTCTTCACTCATTATCTTCAGAAGAATGGAGATATAAATGTATTGCAGATTCGTTCAAGTGAGAATTTAGCAGACTTATTTACTAAGGCTCTTTCGACAACAACATTCAAAAAGTTAGCTTACCGCATTGGATTGCGTCGTCTTAAAGATCTCAAGTGATGTAGTCATGAGGGGGAGTTAATGCGTGCTGCACCTTTTTTTCCTTAACCATGGTTTTTTCCCACTGGGTTTTCCTGGTAAGGTTTTTAACGAGGTTGCATCTTATGCGCATTATAGTGTATTATTTTGTACGGGTTTTGTAGTAAATGTCAGTTATTGTTTTATTCAATATATAGTCATCCAAGGGGGAGTGTTATGATAATATCTAAATATGGATTACTATTATCCCATGTACAATCTAGAATATTCTAGAGTTGGGTATTTGGTCTTATCCATTGATGGAACCCTAGGTAATGTACATTATATATATCCCGTACTAGATGAAATATGAAATACAACGTAACAATCTTCCCTCATCTCTCTGTATTTTCTCTTCCATATTTAACAGGGAATTTGTTTTTAAAACAAAGCTGTGAATTTATTTATGTTAACAATATTGTGGGAAATCATTCCATCATTTAATTTATTTATTTTTGTAAGTATTGTAACATTGAAAAACTCTATATATATATATACATACATATATATATATACATACATACATATATATATATACATACATATATATATACATATACATACATATATATATACATATACATACATATATATATACATATACATACATATATATATACATATATATATACATATACATATATATATATACATATATATATATATATACTACCTCCGTTACACGTTAAGTGCAACAAAGGGGTGTGCACATTTCCCAAGAAAAAAAATGGAAAGAGTGATTAAATAACATAAGTGCATGTGATTAGTTTGAGGAGAGAGAAAATTGGGTCCCATTATTCCTTGGTTTGCTTTTAATAAGTCTGCCAAAATTTTGTGGGGGAAGTGGATTTCCCGCCCCACTTTTCACCAAATTTCAAATCAAAATTTTGCCAAATATCAAAGTCAAACATTCTTTGTTCCAAAAGGCAACCTCCTTTATAAAGAGGCAGCTACATACCCAATTCATTGTTCCACAATTTCATTACATAACAACCAGTCAGCATGAGTTAGATTAAATTACAACCAAAGTTTTTTTTTTTTCTAAAATGAAGCAAAAAAAATTCCTACAGCAGCATTCAAGAACAGCTTCATCAGCAATCATCATCAGCAGCTTATATTCCAACTTCAGGTTCCTTCTGCTTTGTCAAAAAAATCTGAAAACAACAACACAAAAAAAAAAAAAAAAAAAAAAAAACAGAAGACAGCAAGCAATGGAAGAGGTCAGTGATGATGGGTTTTGGAGTATTGAACAAATGCTAATCGATGAAGAACATCAAGAATATGATGATATGGAAACAGATGAAGATGGTTATGAAACAGAAACAAATGAAGAAAATGAACATGGGCAGCCATCGATTTGCAGAAAATAATTAAATCTCGACCAAAGAAGGGGAATTGTCGATCATCTTCTTGCTATGCTACAAGAGGATGATGAATTACCTCGGGTGAACAATCAAAAATAGCCAGGAAATTTCATGTTCACAGATCAACAATACATCGAGTGTTTAAGGACATGCAAAAACAGAGAGAAAATGGAGAGGTGATTGATGTCAGGACAAAGAAATTGGGGAGGGTAGGTCCAAAACCAAAAGAATGGCCAGATGCACTGCTACAGTCAGTCCCTCTAAGGTTGCGGACAACCGAAAGAAGTTATGCGGCTGCTTTGGGAATTTCACATGTCACACTTTACAGGTTGATTAAACAGGGCAAATTAAGGGTTCATTCAAGCAACAATCATCCAGCCCTCAGTGCAGATCATAAGATTGCAAGGATGAATTGGGTTTTATCCCATATCATCCCTGGCACACCCACAACAAATCCCAGATTTGTTGATATGGATAAAGTCATTCATATCGACGAAAAATGGTTTTATTTAAACCCGGAGACAAGGAAGTTTTATCTCTGTCCACTAGAAGAAGACCCATACAGATGCCAACAAAGTAAAAGGTTCAAAGTGAAAGGCATGTTCATGGGACTCATTGGCAGAGTACTTCAAGATGAACAAGGCAGAATTATTCACGATGGGAAGTATGGGATTTTCCCATTTGTGTATGAGCAAATGGCTAAAAAAAGTAGCAAGAACAGGCAAGCTGGGACAATGGAATTAAAAGCCCATCAACATGTCACAAAAGATATCATAAGAGATATGCTTTTAAACAAAGTCATTCCAGCTATTCTAGAGAAGTGGCCAAGACAATTAGGCAGGAATGTGTACATTCAATGGGACAACGCTAGACCACACAAAATACCAACAGATCCAGAGTTTGTGGCAGCAGCAACCCAAAGGGGCCTCAACATCCAAATGATATATCAACCAGCCCAATCCCCTGATTTAAATGTCTTAGACTTAGGCTTATTCAACTCAATTCAGTCACTGCAATATCATACTTTCCCAACTAATTTGTCTGAGTTAATTAAGGAAGTTGAGAATGCATACACTGAGTTTGACCCTATTGTGAACAGAAACAGTTGGCTGACATTACAAATGGTTATGCTTAAGATTCTTCAGCATAAAGGGGGAAACAACTTCAAAACTCCACATATGGCAAAGGAAAGGCTGGAAAATGTAGGAATTTTGCCCAGAAATGTTCCAGTGGACAAACATATTTTAGAGGAGGCAATCCACTATCTTAGTAAAAGGTTCAGGCCATCAGATCGACCAAATGACACAAATGCAGAACAAGAAGCAGGAAATGAAGAAGGAAGGAATGAAGTGGATGCAGACTAAATGCAGCAGTACATATTGCCATTTTGAACCACATTTTGTGCAGGTAATAGTCATAGGGACTCCTTATAATGTGGTTATGTGTTTATGCCCTTTTGTATGTACAGTTAAGAAAAGGCATGGAAGGCAATCAAGTTGATTACAAGTTGTAACATTTGTTGATTGCCACATGTAACCACATTTTATGAATGTAATTAGTCTAGGGCCCCTTAGTAAAATTTTCTATGTGGTTATGCCATCTTTTGTGTGTAATTAAACTAAGGCATGTAAGGCAATCAAGTAGGGACTCTTTATGTGTGTGTGCCTTATTTATTTTAAGCATTTCCATCAGAAGGTAATATTTTTTTTCAGTACATGAGTCATGGTTTGTTACCTCAAACATCAAATGTTACACAATTTAATGGAGCAAAATCAAACACATGAACCATTTTGTCAATTGAGTCCCTTCATCATCTGGAAATCTACAACATAAACTGATCTCTCAACTAAGTATCACTGAGATCAATCAACCAAAATAGGACTGACATGCATTACAATGACCTCCCCAATTCAATGAAACACATGCATTTAAGGCAACATTCATCATTCATCAATCAACCATCTCCATATTCATCAACATTCATGAACCACAAAAGGCAACCATATTCACAATGTGAAACAGAAAAGACAACCATATCCACAATATCACCAGAAAAGCCAACCATATTCACAACAAAAACCACAAAAGGCAGCCATATTCACAATGTGAAACAGAAAAGGCAACCATATCCACAATATCACCAGAAAAGCCAACCATATTCACAACAAAAACACCAAAAGGCAACCATATTCACAATGTGAAACAGAGAAGACAACCATAGACACAATATCAAATAAAAAACCCAACCATATTCACAATATCAACCAAAATAGCCAACCATATCCATAATATCAACCAGAAAACCACAACCATATTCACAATATCACCAGAAAACCACAACCAAAATAGCCAACCATATCCACAATATCAACCAGAAAACCACAACCATACTCACAATATCACCAGAAAACCACAACCAAAATAGCCAACCATATCCACAATATCAACCAGAAAACCTCAACCATATTCACAATATCACCAGAAAAGCCAACCATATTCAAAATAGGAGCAACATCGATAATCATCACAATTGGGACTCATAGCAAGATTATCTCATTGTAGCAATAGCAATAACAATAAAGCAAAACATGTATTGAAGAATATAACAACCAGATCTAGCATAGATTTCATGCAACAAACAAAGGGACTAAGGTAATCAGAAACAGAAATTAAATATGGGTGAAGAAAATTATACGCTGCCCATTCACTGAGAAGGGTGAAATTTCCGATCAAGATGTTTCAGAAAATCGAGGTAACATGGATCGAATTGGTCCTCATCAACCACGAACCCAGATCTGATCCTTTTGTTGCCATCTTTTGCTTCTTCAGAAGGGAAGATCATTTTGGCTGGGGGATTTTTCATTGTAAAACCATAGTACTCCTCCTCTTCAACAACCTTTCCCTTTTCTTTTACCCCACCCTTTCCCCCTTTCTTCGTCTCCTTCCCCTTTCCCCCGTGTTTTCCCCCTCCTTTTCCATCTGAACCTCCCTCCTTCCCGTTGTCCCTTTCTTCAACATCACAAATTTTCACCCCCTTCCCACTTATCCTCCGCATAATTGTAGCTCTACCTAGCCTTCTTGGTTTAAAGGTGGGTCTTGTCGGTTTGACAATTGGAACCCTAGGATGGTAGTTCTCTTCCAAATCCACCACAGGATCTTCACCTTTTGCCATCTGAATAGAATTAAGGACCCTTCCCAAACACTCGAAAGAATGGTCAGACAACGCCTCCTTAGCTTCACCGGATCTGTAAAATTGAAAAGGCCAAGGCAAATCATCCTCAAGATACATAATAAGCTCATCAAGAACATCACGTTCGTCGTCATCATCACAAGCGAAAAAAACATCATGTAAAGGGGTCAAATCAGCCATTTTTAGGGACTCAAGTGTACACAAACGAGTAAATCAGCGAAATTTCTAAAAAAAAAAGGAAAAAGCGTTGATTCCGGTCAGATCTGATCGGAAAATCAACGGGGGAAACTCGAATGGAAGAGATAGATTGATGGAAGACAGAGATGGATGGAAGAGAGAGAAAGAGGGGCGTATGGTTGTGGTTAGGGTTTCTGGGTTCATGAGATGAATGAAGATGAATGATGAAGGTGGGAGTTGATTTAATGTGAATTGATTGAATTAAATGTGGGTAGTTGGGAGGGTTGTGTTTTGATTTTGGTGGGAGTCATTTGATAAATTAACTAAGGAATGGATTCTAATCAAATCTGTAAATTTGTGTTAATTGTGTTTTAAGAAAATTAAGTAAGGGCAGAATTGTAATTTGACAGGCAAATTTTTACTATATTAGGAAATTTTCACTTTGTTGCACTTAATGTGTAGCTTCCTTATTTGGCAAATGTTGCACTTAACGTGTAATGGAGGTAGTATATATATATATATATATATATATATATATATATATATATATATATATATATATATATATATATATATATATATATATATATATATATAACTCGAAAATGATAATTTTATTTTCAATGGCTACACACACTTTTCACCCAAAAGTTAACTGGCTTGAGGATAATTAGGAATAAAAAGTGAAAAAACCTAGCCTCCTTATAAAAACATTAAAATGTGCAAGGCTTGGAACTAAGTGGTTGGTTGAGTTCACGTATGCAATAAGGCAGCTTAAATAACCTCCTAATCTCCTCATTATGTTTCTCATAATACTCGTTTTCTTCTTCTGTAAAACCAACCCAATAACTATGTGGATCCTGACTTTCTCTAGTATGCGAAAAGTACGCGCTGTCTGTGGATGACTTACTGTCATCCTCATCATCTTCATGTGGTTGTTCATCTCCTTCTAGCACCGAGTGTTGGACCACCATTTCTAGGGACGATGAATAATTCTCTTGATGTACTCCTCTAGGCACATCGACATCGTTCTGTTGTTGAGTCAAGGTCAGTTTAAGGAATAAATCACTCATCTGTTGTTGAATCAAGGACATTTCAAGGGATGCATCATGTTGTAGTAGTCCACCAAACATGTCATTCTGTCCCGGAATCAAGCTCATTCCAAGAGATGAATCTTGTTGCTGCAGTGCACCTCCAGGTCCATGCTCTGGTTGTTCATCATCACACGGTAGCAATGGTTGTTGGCGCACACATTTAGCAAACGAAACTAGACTCTCTGTATAACCGATAATACCGCGGTCTGCACTCTCTACAGGAACATGGAGTGATTTCTTTTCCTGTGTCCTCAAATTATACAAATTTATTTTTTCATCTCGATGCCACTTCATTGTATCAGGATCTTCATCATTGATATACAAAATTCCCTCCTTCTTCCACAACACTACACCATGGCCTAAACTTACTCCGTCGGGAAGGCTGATATAATGTTGTTTGGTCCAATATCCTGTCGGACCATACCTCCAATACGACTTTCATCAAAATTATACAAGGTAGGGTACTTATCGTTGGAGCTCAGTTGCAAGAAGCCACGGCAAAATTTACTTGTTTCACCAGGCAAAGGAGTCTTCACGAAGACCTCATCCGCCATGTCGAAAGAGAGAAGGGAACGACTACGAAATATCCAACTGTGCATACGACCGTTGGAAATAGGTTTAGACACAGATATTTCCCGCGGGTTACCACCAAAATTAAAACCCGCATCAACCTCCTTCCAAGAATTCGCAGCAAGGGAGTACAATTGTACGATGCTGGAATTCGTCGTGTCATCAAAATTAACAACCTTGTAATCGTTAGTTATATCATCAAACCCAACCCCGGCACACGAGCTCTTGATACCCTCTGTATCAGGGAGTTTAAAGACTTCTCTAGTAGCCGGGTTCCACAGCAAAAACACAAACACGGTTTCACATACTGGATCATCATAATAAACTCTCCTCAATGTTACAAGGAAGAGTCCATTACAAGGGCCGTAAACGCAGCAATTGGATAAAACATCATAATGACAGATACGAATATCTGATACAGGTTCAAGAACAGCAGGTCTAATCTTGAACACAGTTTTAACACTAAGGTTTTCATAAGAAAATATGGTAAAAGAAAGGCCAGGATAAAAAATAGTCAAAAGAGAATCATGATCATATTCATCTTTTCGACTATTTATACGAGTCGTATAATGTTTGGTTGCAAATTCAGGGGATCTAATGAGAGAAAGCCAATACTTACAAACACAAGTAAATCGAATCAACGACGTTACTGGCAACCGCGCCAGGATCTCTATCAACACATTTTCTTGCAATTCCATGTAGTCTGCTGTAACCAAACACAGTTATGGATCTGATCGAAGTTTATGTTGAAAGAGCACACAATAGAAATAGCAAAGGTTAGTTATTTTTGGCAGGAAACTGTTTGTTTCTCTTTGTTTCATAATTTTATTTTAATGGCTGGTTTATTTATTTAAAACGGAGCCAATCAGATCGTACCACATGGCCTTGGTGATTAGAATCAATTTTTTCTTGAGAGATTTGTGTTATCTCAGTAAATCAAGGTCATTCATTTATTTTGAGACTGGTTGAGGTTATCTTAAATTAACCTTATTGTTATAATCAAGACTAATTATGTGAATTTTTCTTTATTTTGAGATTCTTGATTTACTTTTATATGTAATAATTGTTTAGTGGAATAGAATTTTATGATTTGTACAATGTAGTTTGAAATGATCTATTCTTATACTATCTCCAGGTTGTAATATATGCAACTTTGGTGTAAAATCTGTATGATATAAAAAATTCCGCATATAATATGAACCGGGTGTAGTATTACCAATAACCATAACAATGCCACTCTTCTCCGCAAATCTTGGATCAAACATTGGCCAAGGACAAGAAATAAGACTTAAAATATGCATAAGAGCTCAAAGAAGCTTAATATTGCATGAATTATTAAAATGAGCAGAGTAGAAGAAAATGAAAGTATTAATATGCTTGCAAAGTTATTATATAGTACCCATCAAATATCTGCCATTCAATCATTCATACTATTTGAGTTTGCTTCCATATTATCGATGAGGCGGATTGGGGTGGTGCTAGAATTCAATATTGGTTGCTCTAAAATAGTGCTTCTAGCCTTCTACCAGCGTGCAGCACACATGTGTTCGGTTTAAGGGGGGTATAAACTACAAAAATTGACCTGAATTGTTGCACATTTCCAGCAAACCCAAAATTCGAGTACAAATTCATTTACAAAATACATGATCAAACATTAGATCATTTCTACAAATCAAAACAACTTTCTGTTTAACTTCAGAAAGCTACAAAATGAAAATATGGAACTCACAAACTCAATTTCTCAAGTACTGCTTAACTTACAAATCAAAACAACTTACTGATTAACCTCAAGCATCAGAACAAATTAAAAGGTTGTTGGTTATGAAATCACACCAAAAGTTCTCAAACATCAAAAGGTATGAAATGAACATGAAAATCTGTACAATATAAAGATCCTGAAACTTTCAAAAGACAATGCCCTTTAACAACAGATATCTCTACTAATGCTTGGGAGTGGAGATTCCCTTAACTTCCCCCTACTCTTAAGCGTCAACCTGTGTAGCCGGACTGGCGGCGCCGATTCTATAGAGAGATTTTCTCTATAACAGAATAGCTACATATAACAAGTGTATCATTTTTTCCACAAGGAGTAAAAATGCAAGATTAAGATCAAAATTTTGAGATAACAACAAGGCCTTAGTCTCAAAATGATTTGGGCTCGGCTAACATGAATCGTCATAAGGAACAATACAATAAAATAAAGGGACCAAAAACAAAACTTTTGAGAGAATTTGGACAATTAAATTCACCAACAATCCATAAAATTTGCACTTTCATAGCAACACAAATTACTGCTCTAAAAATAGTACTGCCAATTCAGACAAATAATACAAGTCACCGACAGCATAAATCTGTCAAATTAAATCCATAAATCTAGCAATTCAATCATCAAGAGATAAAAAACAAGTGTAAGACCTCCAAAATCATGGATTTTTCATAACAATTGAGAAATCCCATAAAAATTCTACCAATTAAACATCAATTACTATAAAATTCTAAATCAAAATTGCATCTTTTACTTCTACCTCCATCTATACTACAGTAGAAACCTGTTTTCTTCATGAATTTTCAACAAAGAACAGTAAAATTCCAACACCCATCAAACTAAATCAAAGCTAAATTTTGATTGATTAATACAATATATAATTGATATATTATATAAACTAATAATACAACAAAAATACCCAATTATCACCAATGCATTATGATCTAATCAAAGATCAATATTTTTTAAAAATAAAAAAAACCCAGATCACTAACCAGATCTTAACCCACAAAGATTCAATCATTTACTCGATCTTCTTCTTCGCCGATCCCTCGGTTTCAAAGCTTGTATAACAGAGTCATTGTATTTCAAGGGTACAGCCTTTGATCTTCGTTGTTGGGGCTTCTTCTTGGTTACATTACCACCCTTATTAATCTTCTTCGGAATTTCGATCAAATCAGTAGTTTTAAAATCAACAACATTCTCATCATCTTCAACGAAATCCCCAAGAACATTCTGATCGGAATTGATGACAAGATTAGCAAATCGAAGGGCGGGTTTTCTACGACGAATAACCCGCCTTTGAATGTAGGGAACTCCGATCACAGACCCGGCAACATAGTAGACGGCTTTGACGAGTAGATCGAGGCCGTGGCAGCGGGGATTGGCGGCGGAAGGAGAGGAAGAAGAGGAGGTGGAGTTAGAGGAGGAAGAAAGAGAGTGAGTTGAGATAGTAGAGTGAGAAGAGAAGCAAGAAGAAGAGGAAGAACAGGAAGAAGGTGAAGGGGTAAGAGCAGAAGAAGGGGAAACAGGGGAAGTTAAAGATCTTCTGATTCTCATTTTAATGGTGGAAAATTGATGGGTTTTGAGGGTATTGATCTGGAGTTTAGGTGGATTTGAGGATGAGATTGAAAATTGAGGAAGAAGAAGGAGTGAAAATGGTGGTGGCAGAGAGAGAAGAGAGAAAGAGGGGAGATGGGCTAGATTTGGGCTAACCGCGTTATGAGGAGAAAAGAGGGGAGGTGGGTGGGATTGATATTTGAGAAATGAGAGAAGTGGTAATATTGAGCTTTTTTGAGGTGAGCTGTTTGAGACTCCTGTAGCCTTGGCCACTTGGGTAGTGAGAATGTGAGATCATTCAACTCAATCTCAAAAAAAAAAAAAAAAAAAAAGGAAAGAACTTTCCTTGGAAGAGGGATGATAATTGATTGATGAATCTATGTTTGAAATGGAATGATTTGATATTTTTTTTTGTGCTAGTGTTAAGGTGGTAAATATTACTCCCTCCGTTTCAAAATAATGTTCTTACTTTAATCAAATTTGTCTCACAAAAAACAAAAATTAATTGAAAATCATTTTGAAACGGAAGGAGTATTAAACGTTGTATATATATAAGTTGAGGATTAGTTAAATGGTGAATTGTGAGATATTTATTGAGTTTGATACAATGATGTGCTCCATTTTCTCCTCTATAGTTCATTGAAGAACTAGTTCTCCGATTAGTCTTTTTAACATCAGCATGTGTTCAATACTTAACTATTTTATATCCAAAATTAAAACTACCATTAAGGGTCTGTTCTGATTGACTGGATTGAACTGAACTGAACTTACTGGAGCTGAACTGAACTTAACTGAACTGAATATTTTATGAGGGAAGAAAGTTAAGAACTGAACTTATTAGAGCTGAACGAAACTGAACTGAAAATAATTTGAAGTGAACAGGTCTTAAATGTTAGGGGTGTTAACGAGCCAAGCCTGCTCGTGCATTGATTGAGACTCGGCTGGAATGGGCTCGCCTTGAACTCATATTCGGCTCGAAAGCTCGTGAACAAGCTCTAGTTTTTTTTAAATATACATTATTAATTTTTTCGTAATAAATCAATTAGTAACATAAACTTTTGTTTCATAAGTAGGATTTAGGAACTAATAATAATTTCTAAAACTCTAGTTTGTGTCCTCTTGAGTGTTAGAGCTTTCGTTCACGTTATGTAGAAGAAGATCCAACAAAAGAAAGAGAAAAAAAATAGTCCCACATCAAAAGATAGGAGCAAGTGATAGAATGTAAGAGTTGTAAAAGAAATTTTGATTGTTGTTGAAACTATGATTATGGGCACCATTTGGGTCTTGCTGATTTTAGGCTTTTCAAGCCTTGATCGAGTCTTGACCCTTCACTTGACAAGCTTCAAGCTCAAGCCAAGCCTACCTAGGCTTGATCTCGACTCGTCTGGTTAACACTAATATGATTATGCAAGAAATTGTTTCACCTAGTAGTTCTTTTGAGATCAAATTACACTATAGAAACTTTAAGGGTGAATATTTTTTAGGAAATTTTAGATTTTAACACCAAACAAATCAATGAAAATTGATATTAACACCTCCCAAAAAAAAATTATTTTAACACCACATAATAGAATTAAAATTTGAAGTTACCACCAGATAACGGTTTCTGTGACGGAAAAGTGTCGTGGGTCCCATGTTTTAGTTTTACCTCCAATTTTCTCACACAGTAACACGATTCTTCCTCCTTCATTGATTACTTTCAACCATTTTCATTGAATTCTCTCTGAATCTTCATCTACTCAAAAAAATTTCTTCATCTAGGGCATTCAATTTAGGGAAATTGTGTGGTTGGGGATAGCAGAGTACAAGGGAGCTGTCAACATTGCAGAAGAATAGTCTTTGAGGATTTCGTCATCCATCTTCCAAAAAAGGGCGAAATTTTGCTGGTAATCTGACAATTACAGGAGAAAGATTCCAAAGAAGGTATCTTTTTTACCTTTTTACAGCAAATTCGTGTATTACTTGTGAATAATGGATGTCAATTTTGCAATTTTATGCTTAATTATGGTTAATTTTGGGAACTGAAACAGAGAACCCTAGAAAATTCGAATTTTTTGAAATTGACTTTCTGAATTAGGTAATTGGTGTTTTTGGTTGACATGTTAGAGTAATTAATGTATTTTTATGTTAATTAACTTAGAGAAGAGTGTATATGTGTGATTTGTTTATTGATGCATGTTGGAGTGGATGCTTTGTAATTAAATAATCAGGTAGTGCAGTTGCTTAACAATGTGTTAATATTATACGGCTTTTAATAATACTATTATATCTGTGTTATTGGTGGGTAGATAATGGGTGACAATGAAGATATGGTGGACATCTGTCTAAGAGTGGGGGGTACATTTGTCCCTAAAAGAGTTAGCAAAGATAGAC